GGAATGACGTTCTGTTTCGGGTTATTTCTTGAGATGTTTCTCTTATTATGTCTCGCAATTTAAATCAGTTCAGCCTTGACAAGTACATAGTTGTTGCATCTGTATTAAAAGACAAGATTGAGAAGTGGACAAACATTTTAATGTAAAATTTGCCTTACGAACGAAATGTGTAGATTGTACCTACTCCCTTCGTTTATGTTATCTTTTTCTACCGTAACCTAACCTCACTTTAACCGTAGAATGCCTTTATTTCATTGCTTTTTTGTCAATTTAGCTAGAAAAGTATGTGAAGAAATGGTTTCCCAGCTCAATATGCATATGTATACCGTTTAGCACAACGTAAAATTCAACGAAATCGGGTGTAATAGAAACTTACCTAATTATCATTTTTGAGAATTTATTTTTATGTAATTTCTGCTATGTATGATACAGATATCTAATCTTTCAATTGTGTTATCTGCAAGCGATCATCTGTCTGTGGCTGACATTGTAAACAAAGTCATTTATAAATAAATTATTTCGCAAATTTTACATCACGACACACCTCAGGTATGTAGATAGGTACTGTTTTTGTTGATTCAGATAATATATTTGTTCTTATCTGGCGGCTTTTGGATTGCAAATATACGGTTATCTATTATAGAACGCAATTATCATAAAACAGATACAATTATTGAATTACCCAATTCAAAAAAAAAACAAAAAAAAACATTTTTGAGACATTCATTACCTATAAGTATCTCATATATATATATATTAAAATTATTGTCATTCTAGGAATATGTATATAAAGTAGATGATGTTGCAAATTGAGCGCGACTACACGTGTTGAAGTTGTTTTCGTTTGTTCACTCCTGATAAATGCGTTACATTCGTGCATAATACGTATGTGTTTTATCATTAGCTGTGTGTTATTGCTCGCACTATTTTTGTATGTGGTGCTTTATCGCATATGTATATGTATGAGTGTGTTATGTAGATGGTACACGCAGGCACGCGATTATTGAAATTGTAGAGATTGCCTTTAATTAATCAGTACGGAACAAACAAACTTTCTCATGAATATGTTTGTTATTTAGCATCTTTATTATACATATTCATCCTTTATCCTTAGCCTTTCCTTCCAAGGATGTCAACTGGTTAATTTAAATTAACAGAACTACCAAATTTATTTGAACAAAGTTAGTATCCCTATTGGATTTTACATGAAGGGTGCTAAAAAATATAGTTTTTGTGTGTTATAGTTTCTCCAGTTCAGTAAGAAATAATTCTTCCATATGCTTCCTTATTTGCCTTTGTCAACCGTTTTAATCTGAAAAAAGACGCTGACGCCAGAATAGTTTATTTACCGTGAAATAACAGAGCCAAAATAGGGTTTCAAATTTCAATTTTATTGTTGTAAAATCAACATCAATCATTTTATATCAAAATATGGCAAATGTCTAGATGGGGGTGCGGGTGGGTGGGATCGAAAGAGGAGGTCTCCCCCACCACTGTACCATAAAAAGTTCGTGGCGGTCTCACCCCCATAAAAAGTTATAGGGGTTCAAAGTTAATAAATATGCCAATTTTTATACATTTCTAGGCATGTAAATATTTATATAGTCATTCTTAAACAATATTCAAAGGTAAAANATTAGTTTTACCTTTGAATATTGTTTAAGAATGACTATATAAATATTTACATGCCTAGAAATGTGTAAAAATTGGCATATTTATTAACTTTGAACCCCTATAACTTTTTATGGTACCGCCACGAACTTTTTATGGTACAGTGGTGAGGGAGACCCTCCTTCATTAATTATTATTTTATATAATGTTTGATCTGAAAATACATTTGAGAAAGTATTTTAAATGAAATACAAAATGCATTTTTCAAAAAAGTATTTAAAATAGGTATTTTTTTTAATGCAAGTACTTCAAATAAATCACATCTCTAGTTCAGTTCATAATACGCCACTAGTGTATGAAATATTGAAGCTGATCATTGTGTGTTATTAGATATAATAGTGGATAATAGGGCAAACAAAGGAGTATATTTCCTGTCTTAACAGTTGCCGTAACAATTTAATCGTGAATGCTATAATATCAGAGCAAAGTTCAAATCTTTAAATTATGTGTAATAAACCTTGTAACACACTATGTACTTACTGATAGATATGTACATATGAAGACAACGAGTCATGCTATTTATGCATTTATTATTTAAATTTGGAAAGTACTTATTTATTTACAACTGTATCCATGTATGCATGAAATACTTCAATTAACACCAAATAGCCACTAGATGGCGATATCTGTTATAAAATATGCAGGTATTAGGTTCTTGCATATATCTGGAATACTTCTTGAAAAAAAATTGTCACCAGAATCGATTAGGTGTAACAAAATAAATTTTTATTTTTATGTAACAGTTTATAAGCACTCGGTACATATTTCAATTATTTGCGTAAACATGATCAGTACACACCTTCGTGGTTTGTTTCTCCTTGGACTGTTTTTTATTTCTTCAATTGTAAATTTCTGCATTATTTTTTTATTATATTTCTATGCGGTTAGCTGAAATGCTCAATAGAATTCAAGGATGTGTCATATGCATGTAAATTGATGACATACCTATTTTACTTGGTTTAAATTACCTTGTACGTACTATTCGTTTCTTCATATGCATGTGGTAAAAATATTATGTTTTCATGATGCACGACAGAATGTATCATAAATTATTTATAAAAAAATGCAGAGTGCTTTATGGTATATCCCAGCGATTAACATTGAAAAAGTATTGTTGAAGCACTTTACTATTATTACATGCAAGAAAAAGATGCATGAATTATTAAAAGCAACCTTGAAATCTTGAATCGATAAGAAATGGTAGACAACTACATAATTGTTATTGAAGGATGTGAATACCTATTATTTAAAAAAAATTCAGAAGAAGGATAAGAATTTTAACGTTGAAAACCTTCCAATTTATGGGACACTAGCATAAGAAACCACATCACATCATCATCATAAGGTCATCAGTTCAGTTCTAAGACACGCACCTCCACTCTTTCCTATCCTGAGCTAAGCTTCGCATTTCCCTAAAACTAAAACCACCCACACCCTTAACTATTTGCGAACAGTAATCTAATCTAGGTCTACCTCTACCCCTCCTAACTTCCCTTTGTACTTCTATAATGTTTCTGACTAGACCTTAATGCCTGAGAAGGTGTTCTAGTAACCTATCTCGCCTATTTCTTATTGACTGTTCTCCTATTCTTTCTAATACCTCTTCATTTCTAACCTTCTCTATTCACGGTATACTCATCATTCACCTGTAACGCAACATTTCGAAAGCTTCTAACCTTTTCTTTCCCGCCGCACCCATTGTCCATGTTTCGCACCCGTACATCGCCGCGCTCCAAACATACACCTTTAACAACCTTTTTCGAATTTCTAAATTAAATTAACCGTTTGCGAGCATAGAAGTGACTTCTTTTTATTGAAGGCGACTCGATCCTGCGCTATCCTCTGCTTTATATCCCTATTACTCCTTCCGCGCTGACTTAATCTGACTTCCTAGATACTTAAAATCGGCCACTTCTTCTAATTTTTTGTTTCCTATCTTTATATTCGATCTCTCCCTACCTTTTCTTCCCCTGCATACCAGTATTGTTGCTTTACTTTTATTTATTTTCATACAGTTCTGTTTTGTCAATGCCGCTTCCATTTTATTGAAAACTATCTCTAACTCCTCCTTGCTAGATGCTAATACTGCTATAAAGAAACCACAGCAAAATAATAATCATCCTGTATATATATAGGTATAGCAAGATGTATAGTTTACATGCATTATGTTTATACCTTATGGCCTGTATTGTAATTTCAATCGTTTTAATGGTTTTGAAATTTAAAACTGCTTTTGCTTTTGTTTTTTTCGACTGACTGACTGACAGATATAAAACGTTGTTGACGTAAAGCACTTTTGGTAATTATTTGCATATTATGTAAAGAAAATTGTCTATTTTTAAGTTCGAGAAGGTCAGCTATTTTCACCTTTTTCGTACCGATTACATCATTATAAACAATATGCGATTAAACCCTCTTCGTTGTCAATTTATAGCGTTAAATTACTGATAGGTACTTATTAAACCCAACAGTTTATATTAAAATTAATTCTACAATTAGTCAGTGGCAGCGCATCAATTTTAATCGTATCTGTTACCTATGTACCTATATTGTAGGTATATTGTTGTATTGGAAGTTTTACATGGACAAGATCCACTTACTATTTGTTAGACAAATATGTGAAATGACACATTCGGATCATTATGATAATAGATTGATTGAATACAGTTCTCTAACCTCCCTAAACTCGCGCCTTTATGCAAGGAAATGGGTGAGAATTTCCGAAACAATGCGCAGCACTGCCTTGTGCGGCCCAGTTCAATAATGTAAATATAAGTTCTAGTAAATTTCAATAATTAAGTCGCAAAAAGACATAAATAACTATTGTTTTTGAAGTTCTGTAACTTTGCAGCCCAGCCACCTGTGCTGGGGAGTGTAGTAGAAATAAATATAAAATANTTGATCTGAAAATACATTTGAGAAAGTATTTTAAATGAAATACAAAATGCATTTTTCAAAAAAGTATTTAAAATAGGTATTTTTTTTAATGCAAGTACTTCAAATAAATCACATCTCTAGTTCAGTTCTTAATACGCCATTAGTGTATAAAATATTGAAGCTGATCATTGTGTGTTATTAGATATAATAGTGGATAATAGGGCAAACAAAGGAGTATATTTCCTGTCTTAACAGTTGCCGTAACAATTTAATCGTGAATGCTATAATATCAGAGCAAAGTTCAAATCTTTAAATTATGTGTAATAAACCTTGTAACACACTATGTACTTACTGATAGATATGTACATATGAAGACAACGAGTCATGCTATTTATGCATTTATTATTTAAATTTGGAAAGTACTTATTTATTTACAACTGTATCCATGTATGNGAAGACGACGTATGTTCGTTAAGTGATACAATGAAACTGGGCGCGTTCGCGGATACAAAAAAGAAAGAAATTGAACCGGAATTAATAATACCTCAAAGTCCATTCAGCAAATTACTTCCCGAAAAGATACCCCTAGAAAGTCCACCTAACAACCCGGTTATTAACAACGAACAAATGATGAACAACAAGAATAGTGGCCCCCCGGACGCGACGGAAACGGTCAATAAGAACATCCTGAAGGATAAAAATGGAAACGATACGCCCACACCCACCGAGTGCCAGACGTCGTCCGAAATAACGATGACCTCCACTAACGACGACTTCATTATGGTAGACTTGGTAATTTAATATTTAACATTAACACAACAGGGAGGGCTTTGCAATCTTTCCTTACTTGTTTTCTTTTTAACTTCGTCACCTCTTGTTGCTTTAAATTTAATTGAATGACAAGATTATTATGGCCTTAAATATGTACTTTTATAATGACATTAATTTTCCATTAATTGTTTTATTAATAGTTTATTCTGAGAATTAAATGAATCAACAATACTGGCTAAAGTTCAGTAATACAATCACGACTGTATTATTTCCTTTTTATGAATTGTCGTTGTTCTTATCGTACAGTTAGTTATAAATCATGTACAAATGTACACATAATCGTAAAGGATGAAGAAAAAAATTAAGTAATTATTTAATAATGACGTCTAACAATTTAGGTTATCATTTCCGTTTTGTGTACTTAAGTTTCATTAGTTATTTTTATTTAAAATTATTGTTTGCATCATGACAAATACTGAGCATTGTATGCAATAGGGAAGAGTCGTAGGGTCATAACCCCTTTTCAATTTTGGTTCCTATAATGTTCATCTGTCTTTATTACGTACGCGTGGACTCTCATTTTGCGAGATGGTCCTTCGAGCCGGATTAATAGTATCGTGTAGACATTTAAGTGCATGCAAGTATAATTTCAGTTAATTTATTAATCAAAACAAAAATGCTTGAAGTTGTTTAATCGATTGTCAGGAATTCTTGTGTCACAAACTTCGCTTAAGTTATTGCAGAAGATTTGTCTTGCGTCCGGGCCGAAAGACTATACAGTAAATCTTGTTTGATAATAAATTATAATAGGTACACTGGTTAGGTGTTTTGCAAAAATGTCTTGAAATTTAATGTAATTATACTTCAAGTATAAATGCACATATCAGAAATAGTTTTTTCCTAAAAGTCCAATTAGCAATTTTTATGAACAGTTTATTTATACGTTGCGTGTTACGCTGATTGTGTATGTTAGTATTTTCAAAATTACACTATAAAAACAAATTCCTGTTTCGCTCTCATTAATGGTTTAATATTTTTATGTGCGACCCCCTTTTGAATGTTCAATTAAAGGTCAAAATTTCAAACGTTTTCGAAACTTTTCGTCAGTTAACAGTTGAAATTTTCATCGGATGGAACACACAAACGAAGCTTTAAATTTTTAAATAACACTTTTGTTTTTAACAAACTTGGCAAACGACGAATTTATATTTCGTGAAACATTTTGTCCTTTATTTCACTCAGTGTTCTAGTTAGTTCTGCACGTTCTTTTGAATTTCTTGTCATTTAACAAACTAATGATATTCCTCTCAGAAAATTTTAAAAATAAACCCATTTATTTATTTTTTTGACCAAAAATAACCAATCGTAAGTATACTTCAAGCTGCTACGTGATCAAAAAAAAANCTGTTTCCTTATTTTAAAAGAAAAATTGCCCATATTGTTTCATAAATTAATACAAACAATTATTGGCGTAAGTATATTGTGCTTTTGTAGGTTTTTAATATAATAATAATTGTTCAGTAAACTGTTAAATTTTTGTTTGGGTAATTAAGTAACTAACAATCATTTTGGTAATGGCTTTGGCGGTCAGTTGGTGAACTAGAGCTATCCTGATCGGGGACTAAAGGACGTCGTCGGTTGCTTCCTAACGTTTCACTAGGACGAACGGCGAACTTCTTCAGAGATTCTTCCATCTGTGATGCTGGATGTAGAATACAGTCAAAGATGGAAGGACTTTTGAAGAAGCTTACCACTCGTGGTAGCGAAACGTTAGGAGCTACTCTAGGCCTGAATCAGGACAGCAAAATCGTTTTTGCATTTAATCTTTTGTTTTTGTCTTTTTTTTTTATTAACAAGTGATAAAGTTTATTTTTTGAAGAGATTTCTGTGTTGTCTAACATTATTATAAAATATTAATTGTTCATTTTCTCAGGCTGATAAAAATTTCGAACTGTTTACTGTAAATAATTTTTAAAAACCACTAAATGATTCGATTTGCAATGAGAGTTGTAAAAATAAATAAAATATACAGCTATTTACAGTAATAGTATCTTTTTTAACTTACAACTATATATTTTTAACTTTAAATTAAGTTTTCGAAATCGTTTTGTTAATACTTGTGTAATAATCATTACTGCAATGGGTTCATCGATTTCACCTCTTACAGTTATAGCACTCGGGAGAGGGGGTCACACCGTAAATAAATAACGCATCACAATTAAAAACATATTTTGCTCTTATTACATTCAAATATGTTACACAATTTCTATGTTATTATCAAATCAAAAGTTCTGACACTACGGCAATAATCCCCTTTATAGTTGGGTCAGGTTAGGAAGGCGAAGTCTGTCATCAATTATTGTTGTACTGAAGGTGAGTTGAAGGTAGAACCTGTATGTTGTGGTAAAATGGTTCCCTTTGGCTTTATAAATTGACCCCTGACTATAAATACTGTTTTGGTAGTAAAATTTTTGTAACGTATTTAGTTAAGGAAGATATACGTTGTTAGCCGTAAATTATTTTATTAAAGGGAAGGCCTAAAGTGCTGTGATGTAGTAAAACAATTCTTCTCATAGTCAATTTAATAATAGTTTTTTGCAGCCCAGCCACCTGTGCTGGGGAGTGTAGTAGAAATAAATATAAAATAAATTTCTTTTTGTTTCAGTGAAGACGACGTATGTTCGTTAAGTGATACAATGAAACTGGGCGCGTTCGCGGATACAAAAAAGAAAGAAATTGAACCGGAATTAATAATACCTCAAAGTCCATTCAGCAAATTACTTCCCGAAAAGATACCCCTAGAAAGTCCACCTAACAACCCGGTTATTAACAACGAACAAATGATGAACAACAAGAATAGTGGCCCCCCGGACGCGACGGAAACGGTCAATAAGAACATCCTGAAGGATAAAAATGGAAACGATACGCCCACACCCACCGAGTGCCAGACGTCGTCCGAAATAACGATGACCTCCACTAACGACGACTTCATTATGGTAGACTTGGTAATTTAATATTTAACATTAACACAACAGGGAGGGCTTTGCAATCTTTCCTTACTTGTTTTCTTTTTAACTTCGTCACCCCTTGTTGCTTTAAATTTAATTGAATGACAAGATTATTATGGCCTTAAATATGTACTTTTATAATGACATTAATTTTCCATTAATTGTTTTATTAATAGTTTATTCTGAGAATTAAATGAATCAACAATACTGGCTAAAGTTCAGTAATACAATCACGACTGTATTATTTCCTTTTTATGAATTGTCGTTGTTCTTATCGTACAGTTAGTTATAAATCATGTACAAATGTACACATAATCGTAAAGGATGAAGAAAAAAATTAAGTAATTATTTAATAATGACGTCTAACAATTTAGGTTATCATTTCCGTTTTGTGTACTTAAGTTTCATTAGTTATTTTTATTTAAAATTATTGTTTGCATCATGACAAATACTGAGCATTGTATGCAATAGGGAAGAGTCGTAGGGTCATAACCCCTTTTCAATTTTGGTTCCTATAATGTTCATCTGTCTTTATTACGTACGCGTGGACTCTCATTTTGCGAGATGGTCCTTCGAGCCGGATTAATAGTATCGTGTAGACATTTAAGTGCATGCAAGTATAATTTCAGTTAATTTATTAATCAAAACAAAAATGCTTGAAGTTGTTTAATCGATTGTCAGGAATTCTTGTGTCACAAACTTCGCTTAAGTTATTGCAGAAGATTTGTCTTGCGTCCGGGCCGAAAGACTATACAGTAAATCTTGTTTGATAATAAATTATAATAGGTACACTGGTTAGGTGTTTTGCAAAAATGTCTTGAAATTTAATGTAATTATACTTCAAGTATAAATGCACATATCAGAAATAGTTTTTTCCTAAAAGTCCAATTAGCAATTTTTATGAACAGTTTATTTATACGTTGCGTGTTACGCTGATTGTGTATGTTAGTATTTTCAAAATTACACTATAAAAACAAATTCCTGTTTCGCTCTCATTAATGGTTTAATATTTTTATGTGCGACCCCCTTTTGAATGTTCAATTAAAGGTCAAAATTTCAAACGTTTTCGAAACTTTTCGTCAGTTAACAGTTGAAATTTTCATCGGATGGAACACACAAACGAAGCTTTAAATTTTTAAATAACACTTTTGTTTTTAACAAACTTGGCAAACGACGAATTTATATTTCGTGAAACATTTTGTCCTTTATTTCACTCAGTGTTCTAGTTAGTTCTGCACGTTCTTTTGAATTTCTTGTCATTTAACAAACTAATGATATTCCTCTCAGAAAATTTTAAAAATAAACCCATTTATTTATTTTTTTGACCAAAAATAACCAATCGTAAGTATACTTCAAGCTGCTACGTGATCAAAAAAAAAAGTAGATTCCTAGATACTTAAAATCGGCCACTTCTTCAGTCGTTCGAAAGTCCACCGTTTTCTATAGAAACATATTTGAAAGTACAGTCAAAGGCCAACGTAGGGAAATACTACATTGCAAAATCGCATTCCATCAGCTACAGCATCCGTGTTGTACGAGTATTTCTTTTGTATTTTGTGTTCTTAGTACCATAATTTAAATAGTACTATTAGCGATCAACAAATTATTATTAACTAGTTAATTAATTGCTATCCCAATAGGCCCCTACAGATTATTATGTGTATAAACGTAGTAGTGAGCTATTAATATTTACTTCATTAGTCGTTCTACAACCGTCACTTTTTACATTTTTCATCGATATTGGTTTTTCTCTACCTTGTCACGCCCAGGACCGGCCTAGGATTCGTCTGGTTTTCTTACAAATTTGTTTATTTCTTGACTATGCTGCTTTACTCACCATGCAATCCCCTATTTCATCTAATTATCACCCTCAAAAGCTTGCTAATTATTTCAGAAACATCTTGTATATGTAAAGTGGATTTAGAGCTGATTAGTAAATGGTATCATTTTGTCAAGGAGTCGTAACTTAAATCAGGTTAATATTCAAATATATTTAATGTCTGAGTCTAAATT